GAGCTACGCTATATCCCCATCATTATAGCCATCGCTTAATCGGCCATTAGATGGCGTAAAAACACTCTTATACTCCAGGATCTTAATTACTTACGCAGTTGTAAAATATGGTTTGTAGGTGTTGCCAAGCATTGTTTTAATTACACATGAAATGAAGATGCATTAAACGGGTTGCAGGGTGTGTGTGAGGAGCTGAGAATTCAAGAAGTCAGAGATGCGGGATTGCTTGGTGGTGCGTAAGGAATATTATGTATACGGTGATTTGTTGTTAGTGTTTTTTATTTAAGGCTGGTTAATCCTGCTATTGTAGAAATAGCAGTCAACATCCCTGCACAGTGTGGATGCCACTTACGCACCAAGCCCAGGAGAGACCATAAGATAGTTTTACAGCAATGTTTGTGGGCGAGGTGCACAGTTGTTTTTGCAGTTATTTAGGGAAAGCGACCACCTGGTGTCCTGGTATCAGGAAATCAGACCGGTTATGCGGGTGTCAAGATATCAGACCGGTTTCATCATAACAGCAGGTATATAATTACACCATTAACGTTTGTAACATCAGTCTGGTAGGAGAACACCACACGGACGTTCAGTGACTTCATTGGGTAAACGGATGTTTCTTATATTAATTCAGTATATTTAGTTTCGTGATATATTATGTGCTTGACCTTAACAGTCGTTAAATGACGCGTGATGTTTAGATGATATTAATTCGATGTTTAGAATAAACAGTTATATTGCAAACATACACAGGCGCGTTTTTGTTCTACATTAATACGCGGTGTTTAATGCATTGATTTCTATTCTCTTTACTAATTAGGAGATATAATATATAGGACGTGAATTCTACAAGTGAGACAAGGCTGTCTTCGAAGCAAAACACGTGGTCGTAACTTGAATGCCAGACAGGGTAGACATATCTGACGTGTGTGACCAGTACGTGGCAGCTTTCCCTGAAGCACGATGGAGTACGTGAGAATTAATTCCTGGGAAAATCTATATGAGTGCAAACTGTGTGATGCTTCCTTTTCCTATCTGAGTAGAGTAAAGTTACACATGAGAAGTCACACGGGAGAGAAACCGTATAAGTGCGCGCTATGTGATGCTGCCTTCACAACATCGGGTACTCTGAAGACACACATGAGAACCCACACGGGAGAGAAACCGTATAAGTGCGATCTGTGTGATGCTACCTTCTCACAAATCGAGTGTTTTGAAGAGACACATGAGAAGTCACACGGGAGAGAAACCGTATGACACGTCGTTGCAATCAAACTGTAGTCGCTAGTTTTAAAACATTTTTTAATAAATATTTCTAATGGTATTGAACATGAAACTTTTTATGTAGCGTAATTATATCCTAAATTAGCTGAAAATAACCCTAGAACCTAGAGTAAACTCTCCCTTTAAATGCTGTTCTGTTTTTCGTGAGTTACAGCAACTCGAGGAGTTTTGCCTGCGATTCGCATTCAATCACTTGACTGCCGTCACCCAATCAGAGGCGTTCGCTAAACTTGACGAGCCAACGCTAAAACGCTTCATACAGCGCGCTGCCACGCGGGGAGCCTTCAAATACTGATGCTAGGGGGCAGCACCGTCCAACTGTGCTCCCTGAATGTGAGCCATATATTATTTGTTGATATGTGAATGTCATACACAAATGAACCAATATCATACAAATATCATGTATAAATGTAAATGTATCTTACAGAAGTCGTGTACGAATGTTTGAATATCACACGAATGTCAAGCGTTCAGTCATACCTTCTTGTATTGTAAAAGTCTGACATAACATGATTCTAAAACATATCTCTCACTGCTAATGTATTATGATGTCGGCAGACTGTCTATATTTTCTATATATATATATCTATATCTATATATTTTCTATATATATTTTCTATATATATTTCTATATATATTTTCTATATATATTTCTATATATATTTTCTATATATATTTTCTATATATATTTTCTATAGACTGTCTATATTTTCTATTTGTGAGCAGTCGATTTACTATTGTATTTTTGATATAATGATGAACATCTGTAAAACTTTATCATCTCATCACAAGTAAGATCATATAAGATAACTTGTATAAGATGAGTAATTATTAGTTGAGTTGTAATTATCTTTCTCTTGATCTCACTTATTATAAAATGGCAAGCTTTCTGTGCTGGATGTATTTTGTTTGTCTTATTTTTGTACGTAGCAGTTGGTTGAAGATGATTGTTTGAGCGAGGGGTGGACGATTGGATTGTCATCGTTGTTAAAGTTTAAATACTGTTATGCTAATTTATGGTTGTGATTGTTGTGTTGTTCAGGGGAGTAATAGGCTATATTTTCTGTACCTCCTTCCCCTCCCTCTGACGCTCTCACTCCCACCCCACCCCACTCTCCTGGCGCTCTCTCTCCTACCCCACCCCTCTGACGCTCTCCCTCCCACCCCCCCCTGACGCTCTCCCTCCCACCCACCCTCTGACCTCTCCCTCCCACCCCACCCCCTGACGCTCTCCCTCCCACCCCACCCCTGACGCTTCCCACCCCACCCCACCCCTCTGATGCTCTCCCTCCCACCTCACCCCTCTGACGCTCTTCCTTCCACCCCACCCCTCTGATGCTCTCCCTCCCACCTCACCCCTCTGACGCTCTTCCTCCCACCCCATCCCTCTGACGCTCTATCTCCCACCCCACCCCATCTGACGCTCTCCTTCCCACCCCACCCCTCTGACGCTCTCCCTCCCACCCCACCCCCCTGACGAGGAAACAACTGTTTGTTGCCTCGAGAGATCCCAGTGGGCACACGACGTTGGATTTACGTTGGATTTACGTTGGATTTTGGTCGCGACGTCGCCGACTTCAATCCAACGTCTAGCCGACGTCAGAATTGCGACGTTGGATTTACGTCGGTTTTTTACGTCAATGCAACGTCGTTAAGCAGACATGTTTCTAACATGTCGATATGAATGTTTTAAACTTTCACTACAAACATCGAAACTAAAGTAATCAAGCATCTAGAAACACACGGCATTCAATATTTTAGCAAAATATGCACCAATATCATGGCAGTGTTTTCACATTTTGATCGATGGTCGTATCGCAAGATGTTAGCGGCTTACCTCCCTTGATTTAGGCCTATTCGCTAGGTGGCGAATGAACCTGAATTAATATTCTTGAATTTTTTTTCGCAAAAATAAATCATCATTGTCAAAGTGTGACGGTTATTTATTTTTTTTGTCTTTTACCATTCAAATCATGTTTTGTACTATTTGAAGTCATCAAACATTTTATAAATTGATCCCGGCATTCCCTATTGTCCGGCCGTTTGCGCGCCTTTTCACAGTACTGTCAGCCGCCATATTCGAAAGGAAGGTCGTCGATTTATTTGCACTAAACTAGCCTAGAAGTCTTGTCTGTGTTGTTCATACACCACTATATATATAGTTCTACTTTATAGTATTAATACTTCACGAAGGTTCTGCTACATAGGAGGGATCGAATATTTAATATTCTAAGAAGACAAGAAAAGATTCTGATCGCGATCGATGTCGGACGGATATACTCGGCTACTGATTCTGCACCTTGAGTCTTGACTCACTTATCGGAGCTCCATCGGCACCAGTCCCTATATATCGTTGATCGCAATCAACTTACAAGGTATGTTTCAACCCATTTTCTTTCTCTATATGACCTCAAACAAAACTTGTTAAAGCCATTGGCATTGATGATCAATTGCCATGTCATGGGTCCGAGACCTGGGTGAGTCCATTGTTGCGGATAGGTGAGAAGCCCATGCACACACTCCCTATTTACCTGGGAGAAGCTAGTTGGAACTGTGTGTCCACCCCAAACCATCTGAACTGAACTCACCCAAGCTAGTCAAATCAGTTGCTCATAAATTGGTGACTTGGTGATATGGCGTTTAGGCCAGTCTAACCACTATACTAAGCCTACGCCATATTCAATACGGCTTCGTAGCATGCATGGACTGTTTATTGGACTCGCCCAGGGTCGCCCAGATAAATATCAATACTGTATTTATAATTTTACAAATGCATGATATCAGTATTAAATAAAAATAATTTTTATACTAAATAAGTGTTCAACTTTGTCTTTTTCTGTTATTATACATGTATAGTCATGATCATGTGCATAATAACATTTGTTTCAATTTAATTTTGCTTGTTATTTCCGAGGCAAGAAGATGGCAGAACAATAGCCTTTTGTATTGTATTGCCGGGTGCGGCACTGAGAATTAATCTATACAGGTGTAAATTGGCGTTAATTCTACATTCCCACCTCAGTTGGTAACGGTGCGTAGTCAGCGGACCTGTATTTGCGTTTTTTTTCTGTTGTGTGGATTTTACATGTGCATACATTTATTGGATTTACATGCTGATAATATTGCCGTAAGTATAACTGAGAGAGAGAGAGACCACTACCAAACTTTATTTCATGACGAGTCTGGGCGAGTTAACCCGGGGCGAGTACGTCATCTGGGCGACTTGACCTGTGACCGTTTATTGCATAAAACTATTGACGAAACAATTTGTTACAAATACGCATTAGGATGCCAATGCATCACCGTATATGCCTGGTGGACTAATTTAACATAAGGTAGAGGTACTGTTCTGTCACCGACTCAGATTTTACCCCTATATGTTCCCTTGACGCCAATTTATAGCTAGATAATCATTAGGAAGGTCATGCAGCGATTGGGACACGGGTCAAGTCGCCCAGATGACGTACTCGCCCCGGGTTAACTCGCCCAGGGTCAAGTCGCCCAGACTCGTCCAGAAATAAACTTTGGTGGTGGTGGTGGCTCTCTCTCCCAGTTATACATACGGCAATATCAGCATGTAAATCAATATAAATATATGCATGTAAAATCCACACAACAGAAGAAAACTAGATTAGGATGGCCCGCCATCATGTGATTCCCGCACGCTTGGACATCCGCCTTACTCTGAATGGATTATCTCCCCTAACTTGACTTCCGAATGAGATATCGAAATTCCGAACAGTGTACATAAACCCCAGACAATGGGCGAACCATAATGCCCAAAGTTTGAATTTGTTATCTGCAATACTCTAGGTCTAGGGAACAAAGTACAGTTTGAATGGATTATCTCCCCTAACTCGTTATCCGAATAAGATGGATTATCTCCCCTAACTCGTTATCCGAATAAGATATCAAAATTCCGAATAGTGTACATGAACCCCAGACAATGGGCGAACCAATCCCCAAAGTTTGAATTTGATATCTGCAGTACTCTAGATATAACTAAGGAACAAAGTACGGTTTGAATGGATTATCTCCCCTAACTCGTTATCCGAATAAGATATCAAAATTCCGAATAGTGCATGCGCACCCCACACACCTGTCTGATCAATCCCCAAAGTTTGAACTTTCTATCTCAAACGGTCTAGGAGGAGTTAACGGAAATTACAAACGGACGCACGGACGGTCGGTGTCACATAATAAAAAAACGCAAATTAAAACAGGTCCGCTGACTACGCGGTCTTTTCAATTCAGAGGACTGTTACCGACTGAGGTGGGAATGTAGAATTAACGCCAATTAACACCTGTATAGATTAATTCTCAGTGCTGCGCCCGGCAATACAAAAGGCTATTGTTCTGGCAGCCATCTTCTTGCCTTGTGTGTCAACAAGAAAATTCAAAGTTGACCTGTTTTGTTTCTACCAAACATAAGGCCAAACAAAATAATAGGTGTGGTTCCGGTTTCCCGACCTACCCTAATTAATCCCGCCGACCCTAAACATTTTTGGAACATGAATCCGGACACATGTAATACCAACTGTACTTACCAACCGTAGAGAAAAAAAAAAGAAAAAAAAAAAAGTTTTTCCTACCTACCTTTTCCATGAAATAGGAACCACACCTATTATTTTGTTTGGCCTAATAATATTACACATTGTAATGTATAGCTGACAGTGAACTTATATAGACTCCAAAATGTGTGTTTTTCCTGCATCTAGGCTATAGTGTTGTCAATCGATGTTATTTTGCAATCAGTCATCGGTTGATCACAACCAATCGATGATCGATTATAATCGGTTACAAACTGTTATGATGAAAGGTTCAGAAATAGCATTACTCTTGTGCTATCCTACTTTTTATATGCCATTTATTAAGCTGTATAATCAACATGTGCATGGGACATGTATTACAGTTTGTTTTTTTAGTCAGTAACAAGTACAATTTTCTAAACCATCTCTGCGTCATAAATATTCATTTTCTATTTCGATTAATCGATTATGGGGTTATTGCAATCGATTAATCGGTTCGAAACAGCTTCCGACCAATCATCGAGTATACTCGTGATCGTGACATCACTAATCTAGGCCATACCAATTTTATTCGTTGTTTAACGGGCCGGCCACACTTCAAAAATGGCAATTGCGAAGAAAAAAAAGAAAAAAATGTGTTTTTTTGTGTTTTTTTCCAGATCCAAATTTTTTTTTAAATTTAGGCCACTTCAATTTAATTTCTTGGATTACGGGCAAATTTTTCGTTCTGAGCAGGCAGCAGATAGGAATCTAAATATTTTTTTTCTTTCAAAAATGCAAAAAAGCAGGTAGTTAGGGCCCGTAATCCAAAAAATTAAATTGAAGTGGCCTTAGGCCCTGTACTACAATCTCGCTGAACTAATTGACAAGGTCTCAATATAGGATCAGAGTTTTGCACAGGATAAAATCGATATTGTCAATAAGGAGTGTTATAGTATGTTTCTATATCCTCAAGTGCCTGTGATGTTGACCTAATACAAAATGAAAAAAAATGAAGTAAGAAAATACCTGTAATATGTGCATTAAAATATTTAGCTTTTTGACATTTTTGAAAATTATTTATGCATTCTGTGAATTTTGAATTTTATTTTTATTTCTTTTGGAGCTCCCTCACTTCATTTTTGTGTCACCTGAAAGGTGGCATATAGGGATTACTTGTCCGTCGTCCGTCGTGTCGTCGGCGTACAGAATGGGGTTTCCGTGCGATATCTCTTGAAGGGATTATCCAATTTGAATTAAACTTGGTGAGAATGTTTATTATGCAAGACCCTAGCTCAAGTTCGCTATTGGGGAATTTCCGCGCATAATTAATTAGCATACTGCGATCTGATTGGTCGATATCCGTCGTCGGCGTACAAAATAGGGTTTCCGTGCAATATCCTTTGAAGGGATTATCCAATTTGTCTGCATGCTTTGTATTTGTTAATTTAGGTAATGGCATGTCATCATATCGACAACGCTGGAGAAAGTTGAGTGCTGCTGCCACAGCTGTTGCTCTAGAAAGTAGCAGTGGGGAAGATGAGGATGTGAATGTACAAGAACCTGTGACTGAAAGGGGTACATTTGACTCTAGTGACGATGAGTCTACTTATTCCAGCAATGTAATCAATGAAGAAGATTTTGGATTTACAGAGACGGTCGTTTCATCTGATTCAGACATTTCAGCTGCTGAACATGAGTTTGCTGAAGATAGGCCATCATTTCGAGCAGAAATTGCCACTTGGCTAACTGAAAATCAGTGTCGTAGAGCTGGGGCAGATTCTCTGTTGGCAATTTTGAGAAAATCAGGACTTGATCTGCCAAAAGATTCAAGAAGTCTTCTTCAAACACCAAGAAGTGTCCCGACGGAGGAAAAATGCGGGGGAACTTACACATATTTTGGGTTGGAATCTTCGATAGCTAAAGTGCTGGCCTCTGAAAATGAATGCACCAAGAATCTTGATCAGATTAATCTGTTAGTGAACATTGATGGTGTGCCAGTTTTTAAATCTTCTGGAACTCAATTCTGGCCAATTCTCTGTTATTTTGGAAGTTTTGATCCCTTCTTGGTGGCACTTTTCTATGGGAAGAGTAAACCAGATTCTGTAACTGATTTCTTGCAAGACTTCTTGAGTGAATATGAACAATTGAGACAGAATGGAATTTTGATTGGACAAAAAAAATTGAATGTAAAAATCAAAGCGTTTATTTGTGATGCCCCTGCCAGAGCCTTTATCAAGTGTATCAAGGGACACACCGGTTATTATTCGTGCGAGAGATGTACTGTTAGAGGTGAATACATAAACAACCGTGTTGTTTTCCTGGGAAATGCTCCCCCTCGGACAGATGAAGCCTTTTCAACTAGAGAGTATATCAATCATCAGATTGCGGTTTCTCCCTTGCAGAATTCAAGTGTGAACTGTGTTACAGAATTTTGTTTGGATTATATGCACTTAGTGTGTCTTGGAGCTGTAAAACGGATTTTGTATTTTCTCAAGCAAGGCCCACATGAGTGTAGACTTTCCCACCGTCAAATTAGTGACATCTCTAGTGCACTTGTATCGTTGTCTGGTAAATTACCATCTGAATTTGCCCGCCAGCCAAGACCTCTCACCGAAATTGAAAGGTGGAAGGCTACAGAATTTAGACAGTTTTTGTTATACACCGGACCTATTGTTCTGAGAAAAGTACTTCATGCTGATGTGTATAAACATTTTCTCTCTCTAACAGTTGCCATATCTATTTTGTTGGACAGCTGTGATGATAAACGAGAAGCCTACTTGAACTATGCTGAGCAACTGTTAATTTATTTTGTCGACAAAGCTAGCGACATTTACTCGAAATCCTTTGTTGTCTACAACATTCATAACTTAAAACATGTGGTAGATGATGCAAGGTACATGAAATGTTCCCTGAATGATATATGTGCCTTCCCATTTGAGAACCACCTACAAGTGATCAAGAGGCTAGTGAGAACTGCAAAGAATCCGATTGCACAGATTGTGAAGAGACTTGGTGAAGTAGAGAAAACAGGGACCAAACAGCAGAAAAAAACACACACAAGCCTCAGCTTTGTCTCTGCAAACAAGCGAAATGGATGCTTGTTGCTACAAAATGATGATTTTGCATTTGTGATTGAGAAAAGGGCTGACTCGAAATTAGTGTGCGACATCGTCAAACAGCGGAATGTAGATTCTTTTTTCACAGAACCCCTTGATTCCAAAGTATTGAACATTGTGTATGTGAAAAACTTTGACACTGTGCGAAAAACCAGACGCCTTGTAGAAGCAGAAGATGTTGCCAGGAAAGTCGTGTGTCTACCGTATCATAGAGGACACATACTGCTGCCTTTGCTGCATGGCATGGAACGGGCAACATCATGAATGCATGTACGGGTCATATTATTAAGGAGGGTGTTGCATGTGCATGACATACTGCATGCAGGGCTAGACGTTAACTTTTTATTAGTTACATATGTCAATTGGCATAATCTTTTGTTTGTAATGAGATATTGACTTGAAACCCAGGACATACTGTCAGTAGACTTAAAATTTCATCTGTAACATGTGCAGTGTTTTCTCCAGGTAGGGGCCAGGGGGCCCCCTGAAAATCAAAAAGGCCCCTTGAGGTAATCACATGGGCCCCACATTTTACACAAAATTTGTAGTACTTTTATTGTTGGTGGCTACTTTTTTCACAGAATGGCCTACTGTTTCCAGGATGAGGGGCCTTTTTGGGCCACATCTGCCTGATATCTGGAGAAAACACTATGTGTACATCATTTATTAATAGAAGAGATATTTTTAAAAAATTGATGCAAATTTTACCTGTCCGGAACAGGTAGAAATTTTGTTCGGGCAGGTGGCTTACAGGCATACCTGTCCGAAAGTAACTTATAAAGATATAAACTTTACTTGAAAACTTGTTCTTGCATACACATTTTCAAGGTTCGGGCAGCCGCAGGTATTAATAAAAAGAAGTCTATGTCTAGCCCTGTGCATGGGTAGACTTGGCAAAAAGGGCCTTTATTTAATATGCAGAATAACGTACTGAATTTCATATGAAGTGAAGCAGATGAGATTATAATGTTACTGGCGAGCGACCAGATCTCGCCAGGAACCAGTTCTGACATAGAGTGTGTGCCTATATACATTCATCCATATTTTTAATACAAGCAAATTGAAAACTATCGGTGTACATTTAGTACACGAGGTGGTGAGAACTGGTCCCTGGCGAGATCTGGTCGCTCGCCAGTAGTTAGGGAGATAAACACAAGATGTAAGCGGTTTGATGAGGGTGTACAATATCAGTCGAAATCTCCAGGAGGTCATCAGATGACCGAGAACAATAATAATTAATGGCTGCTTGAAAATTGTAGATGTTTGAAATTGAATTTTTATACAGTCAAACCTGTCCTGGCGACCACCTCTCTAAGGAGACCACCTGCCCAGGGAGACCACTCAAAAGTAGTCCCAATGCTTATAATTTATATATAAATGACCTGTCCAAGGAGACCACCTGTCCAAGGAGACCACTTTTGGACCAGTCCCTTGGGTGGTCACCTTAGACAGGTTTGACTGTATATAAAGTCTGATTAGGCCAAAACGTTAACGGTTAAAAAAAATATATGGTAGGGGGTAGGAATAAACTTTATCTTATTTTTAAATTTTATTTCTCCAAACAACACTGGCCTGGGCCAAAATAAAAAAATACTCTGTTGGGCGTTAGCCGACCGACCCACCAAAATGGGCCCGACCCAAAAAATTGTCAAAAGAAAACAAAAATTTCAAATCCAATAGCCAATATAACTGGAGAAAAACAACACATTTTAGTTCTTCCTGAAAACGTCAAAAAAAAGCCTACCTACCTACCCTACCCCAACAGGGTGGGTAGGCAAACGCCCAACAAGATTTTTTTAATCGCGGCCCAGTGCATATAAATGTGTTTAAAATGCTACATTGTATATTTTATTAAACTTTGCAGTTTGCACACCCAAATACTAATTTCCTAACCTTATAATTGTCTACACATTTTTGGCGTATAAAAATGTTTTGGTTACCAAAAGGCAATAAAATCTGTAGGGTCGGCATGAAAAATTAGGGAGGGCCGGGTTAGCGAAAACACAGCTTTTTTATTTTTGGCCTTATCAAATTTGAGTATATTACTGAATTCACATTGTCCTTATATCATGTATTGGCACAACAACTCATTTATATGAATGAGAAAAAAAATCCTATTGGGTCTCGTACTGAGAGATATTTTGCTTAAAAGGTGAGAGAAATTCATAGCTGTCCTGTACTGTGTCATGTAATTTTAGCAAATTTTAGCGAGACTTTTGGTCTCCCCTGAGAATTTTCAATGAGATTTTTGGCAAAAAGACTGCAGAATATCCCCAAATCTTATCTGAAAATTAAATTTCAACTTCAAAAATGTTGGTATAGACTGGGTGTTGAGTGTATTCCCATTCACAAAGATTTTTATCATTTACTCTCCCAGAATGTCGTGGGTACGAGCTAGCTGGCAAGAGAAATGCCAAGATGAGGAGGCGGTTATTCCTGCAAGCTGGGTGATTGGTAAAGTAGTTCACTGGCCGACGGTGACCAATGCTGAGAAAGCCATGAAGGAAGGAAGAAGGCCAGATGATGGAAAGTCCAAGTGGTCCACTTATCCGCTGATTAAGGAAAAAATAAAATCAAGTATGTCATCACTTTCTTCAGGGAAAGGACACCGAAACAGTGTTCAATCTTGAGCGATTATGTTGACTTTACGGGCCGGGTCAGCCCCATCTTTGCTTATGTGGTCAGTGCTATTAATGTACAATTTAGTGCTGAAACGAATATTCGGATAAGAATCGAATTCGCTAACATTAGAATGCTATTTTCAGTATTCGAATATTCGTTATGACATCATATTATATTATACAACATCATCGGTCTAATAACTACATGTTGAAATTTATGCAGCAATATTGAATAGTAGGTTCACTAAAAACTGTCAGTTACAACTCTTTTGATCATTTATCAATGATGGAGTATATCTGGCTATATTTGAATACAGAAATGTTGAGTTCGGAATGAACTTCATGAAGCTATAATCTTACTGCAAACTGAAAGAGACTTTTAAAATTTGGTGGCCATAACAATAGTCAGTACTAATCGAATAATATTAATGAATACGAATATTCGAATATCAAATTTTGGTATTTGTTTCAGCACCAGTACAATTACTACAAATATCCACAGAAACTATCAAATGGTCCGGCGCCCCCTCTGTTTCTAATAGGTTTGGTCCCCAAATGGCCCTCTTAACTCGCATCCTAGATTGAACACTGCTGAAATCATTTTAGATAGTTTTTCTATCTGTAATCTCCCATCACTGTTTTACGAATTATAGTCATTTCGGTACCGAGACGTTTCGGTACTTCGGCCTAAGACGTTTCGGTACTACGGCCAAGATCTTCTCTTACCAGTCAAATATCCATATTGAAATTACTGAAAGTGTAACAAACCAAACCCCAACCCACCACTACCGCCTTGGAAAGGGACCTAACCCTAGCCGCAAAGCTCTTGTATATGTTTGTCAGTAATCGTGAGAGCTAGCCGCAAAGCTCTCGATACCGCGAAATGACTAGCGATAAGTACCGAAACGTCTTGTGAAGTACCGAAATGACTCGGTACCGAAATGACTAGTCCCCTGTTTTACTGCTAAGTATGTGTGTGTGCGAGCGTTCATGTGTGTATGTATGTACATGTGTATGTATGCACATTTATGTATTGTATTTGTATTCTGTTATTCGGTCTTTTACACCCTTTGTAAATTTTTATTTCATTGTTGTTAACACTTACCCCTAAGCCCTTGTATTTACATGTATTCCCCTGAGGGCAACTGTGGAGATTAGCATACCCCTAAGGCGCTAACAGTGTTATACCCTCGTAAAATTGTGGATTGTTATTTAAAAATTTTCATCACTAAACATGTGTTACAGTGTATATTTAAACCAAATGTTCTGAAGTTTGCTGCAGGGATCTATAAACTCGGACTTCCTTTGATATTTGTCTTAAAATTGAAATTATATAATCAATAGCTGTTTTGAAGTTCCACTCGCATTTCAGATAAAAAATGTACTGATTCAATCAATTAGTTATGATGTTTTTTGTTTTTTTAGAAAACAAAAAAGAATGTGAGGAATATGATTTCACAACAACAGTAGAGACTGAAGATGATGAGCAGCCGGGCGATGTCAAGAGGCTGAGAAAGAAAAAACTATATTCTGACTATGTTGTTGGTGAGTTACAAAGAATATATGATATAGGTTTTTTATATGCCTCTGATCTAGAAGACCCGGTGACAACTACAGTAGTGCACAAATTTTGGTCTTTGTGCCAAAGGTTTTAGGTGCCAATAGAACAGTGTTAATATGACATTCATACTGAGGGCAAATCAAAACTCAGCTGGTGGGCAAGATTATTTTAATTTGCAATTGCCCTCAGGACAAGTTGGCTTGAAATATAATTTAAAACCCTGCAGTGGAGGTCTAGAGGAAAACTTGTTTCAACGCTTGTTTCATCAAACATCTCTTCGTGCAGGGGTTTCATTAAGAACAGGCCGCAGGCCAAATTGCCTGTTCAAATCTTCTTTTCTTATACATAACATGATGGAAAATATTACATAAACGGTTATTTTGGCCTGTTCAAATATCGTTTGGCCTGTTACTTGAAAAGTTAGTGAAACCCCTGTTCGTGTAGTAATACTGCTGAACGCAGATGTCGCCATGCACATGTCCTTATATGGGTAAAAACTCCCAAGACCGGGTCTCGAGGTGAGCTTGCGTGCACTGAGATTTGAGGCTTACCGTATACGGTTGTCAGACGACTACGGACATACAAGTCTATTGTACATCACAGTATCAAGTTTAAATCGTGAAGGTTTTCCTGAGCAGATTTTCGTGAAATATGTTTTAAATAGCATGTTTTTGATTGTGCCTTCTGCGTTTTTCAAGTTTTTTCACGTTAGTGAAAAAAGTGGGTGGTGCGATATTTATGATGAGGTGTATATTTAAAAAGGAAATCATATCCTAGTTTTACCTTTGTTATGTTTAATGAACAGGACAAGATGAAGCTTCAAGTTCTAAAGAACCAGATGATCCCGAGCCAGGCGATAAAGCAACCGAAAAGGATCAACAGTCAAGAAGTAAGTTTAACCACTGGTCCAAAGACAGAGGCCAGTAAAATCAGTGTCTGACCAGTAAAATTTCACCTGTCACTTGCCCAATGGACCCATGAATGATTATGTTGATGAGTTGAATATTGATAAATACCACTTGATCTAATTATAATCTTTGTACATGTATCTGTATTTGTGCTAGTAAATTTGTATTCGGGTCAATTGATTTTGCAGACCTGCTGGTCCAAAAGGCCAGTGACCTGAGAAGTTTGTTGTGAACACTGTTTTAATATTTGCATTAATATTGTCCTCTGTATTGAAGTTTATTTGACCTGTAAAATGTGTGCTGTGATCGAATAACAGAGATCTACTATATGGGACTTGATTTAATTTAATTATTTTATTTCCCTCCTCTCTGCCTTCATGCAGTACTGACCAAATAAAAAGACCCCCTACTCCAAAGTTTTATAAAGGAACCCCCCCCCCACCAGCTGAGATTTGTCCCTACATCCCACTTGAATTCAAAGATGATGAATACTACAATCTGTTCAATAAATAACCTGATGTGTATTTTTTATGACTTGTATATGTCAGTTATACAATGTATGAATAACCATTCTCATAAAAATTGTGTTCATTGGTATATGAATTGAGGAAAAAATGATTGTTTCTCATACTCAAACCTTATTTTAAAATTATTGTCTATTCATCTTATATGCAAAGAACCTGTCTGTAACATTTTGTTTCTTTTGTCAATTCAAGATACCCTCCTCCCACCACCACCGGAGAAGTTTCAGCAAAGGCAGTCCAACGTCTCCTCGCATCCACCAGGCGGGCGGTCGGAATCCCTCTCGCCTCCACCAGGCGGGCGGTCGGAATCCCTCTCGCCTAGAGCAGAAAGCGGACCAACGTCTCGCCTCCACATCGCAACAGGCGGTCGGAATCCCTCTCGCCATCCCCGATAAAGAGCAGAAAGCGGACCAACATCTCGCCTCCACATCGCAACTGTCGGAATCCCTCTCGCCTCCACCAGGCGGGCGGTCGGAATCCCTCTCGCCGTCCCCGATAAAGAGCAGAAAGCGGACCAACGTCTCGCCTCCACATCGCAACAGGCGGTCGGAATCCCTCTCGCCATCCCCGATAAAGAGCAGAAAGCGGACCAACGTCTCGCCTCCACCAGGCGGGCGGTCGGAATCCCTCTCGCCTCCACCAGGCGGGCGGTCGGAATCCCTCTCGCCTCCACCAGGCGGGCGGTCGGAATCCCTCTCGCCTCCACCAGGCGGGCG